GCATTGATTGTACCAGGTAGTGAAAATGATAATTTATGCAGGTTTGTCTGATCATATTTAACAGACATAAAAAACATTGACAGGCATTTGTTAAATTATATGATAAACTACAACCTTTCATGTTGGGAGAAAGCATGTATATTTAAATAGTCATGTTTGTAGAAATCTTCCTGCTTATGTATAAAATTTAAAAATAGCTAGAAATTAGAAAAGACTAAAACTGGAAAGGTGTCAACATTATTCAAGTCTTTATGACAAAATCCTTTAATTTTAGCACTTATGTTTACTCAGTCTATGTATGTTGAAAGGAATCATTTAATGATGACACCTTTCTCTGGGTATTCATTTCAAGAGTGTTTGTATTTTATTGTAAGAAGTGTGTTTTTTTTACAGATTTTTTAGCCAGAGAAAATTTATTTTATATTGTTCTTTCAGTAGATATGAAGTGTCAGAAATTAGGGTAAAAAGAAATAAAATATTTGTGTATGATATTAGATTTGGGTGAAGAAATGGCAAATGATATTTTTAACAAAGCATTTAAGTTTTATTTGAGCCAAACTGGTAATACTTTTCTCAAAGATAACGAATGGAAGACAAGATTTGAGACCCAAACAGAAATGAACCAACAACTTGAGAAACAAATCCTTATGCTGCAGGAGAAAGTAGAAGATGCCAAGAGAAATCTCAAAGAAGGTATGGGAAAGATACTTGGTGACACAAATATTAGGCTTGACTTTTCCATGGCTATTTCTTTCAATTATGAAGTAGCAGCAAATTTAACTAAATATCCAATCATTGAAATAGTGTCACAATTTTCAATTTATTTGATTTAGAGGTCAAATGACACTTGTTATTGATAATAAGTTAACAAAAATTCATGAAAGCTTGTAGCAGGAGTGGGAAAACTTTTTGTGCAAGGACCACATTGATAAATGGGAAGCTGGGGCCGCATGTATAGTATGTCCAATTTTTAAATGTCCATAAACATTTCTCTACAATAGTCTACATTAAAATCGGTAAATTCGCTTTTTAGCATTACATGACAAAAGTCAAGGACTGTTTTAAAAAAATAGAAAATTAGAAAGAAATTGGATAAAAAATGTTAAAACAATCATAACGGTTCATGAAATTCTGTAAAATTCAACAAAATAACTTAAAAACAAAGTAATTTTTTAACTTATAAATGCCTTCGAGGGCCACATAATATCAGTTGCCGGGCTATAGTTTGCCCACCCCTGGCTTATAGTATTGCCATGTTTTAGTGTGTAAGGTATTATTTGGTATGCTATAGGAAACTTCTGGAGTTGCAGCTATTTTTCCCAGTTAATGTTCCAAAATAAATTTTTTAAAATTCAGCTGGAAAATCTCCAAGAGACAACAAAGCATTTGATGATCTTTCTGATGTGAGTTTCTTTCATTTTCAAAAACTAAGACCTTATGCCTAATGTATTAAGTCTTAAACAATAGAATTGTTATACTAATTAATAATTTTAAAAAAATAGTAAATGCTATTTTTTTTACTGTCTATTCCATTTCTGAAAAGTATAATTAGTAGTTAATATTTTGTTTTGTTTAAGGATTCTTTCACTCATTTGTTTGTTGTCTCCATTTCAGGCAAGTCCACAGATGGTGAAGGCTTTGGAAAAAGAAAAGAACAGTTTGTACAACCAACTCAGAGATTTGGAATGGAGACTGGATCAGGAGTCTAAGGTGATTTTCAATTCTTCTTATAAAAATTAAATGCCTACCATAGTTCACATCATGAAACATAAAAGCTAATGGTCATGAAACCAACAAAAAAAAATCAGTTGGATTTCAGTTATGTCTTGTGAAAATTAACACAGAGAAGCGAAGAAAGTTTATCTTTGAAAAGTTAACATTTGTTATTGATATAATTTTGGTATGTTAACCTTGCAGGCGTATCACAAAGCTAATGATGAGAGGAAGCAATATGTCTTGGAAATAAATGCGACTAAAGGTACAATTGGTGACCTGAGGACCAAACAGAGACATCTCATGTTGACAGCACAGGAAGCCCCGCCCAGAATCACACCAAGGGTGACAGGTGACACACCCAGGACCTACAGAGATGGTGGAGGGTAAGACGTTTTATTTTATTATTTTGCTAAATTATCTACAGCAGAGAATTATATTTGTAAAGTGATTTCTTGCAACTGGTAGGTCTCAAAATTTATCTGCCTTAAAGATTCTATTCTCAGTAACAGTCTTTTTTAAAAACCTTTCATTGTCAATTAATGGCTTCTTAAAATTGAAATTATATAAATGAATTAAATACATTTTCATAAATTAAAAAAAAAGGATTAGCTTTAAAATTGATGTTACCTTTAAAATTGATATTACCTTCCATCTGCTTGGTTGACCCAGTTAGCAATTATTAAATACAAGATTCCAAAACCAGGTTTACATTCTTGTCAGACATGCTTTACTAAATGGGCTTGAAAATGCAAACATCGCTTCCAAACTAAATTTCATTGTGCTTGGTGATAAAAAGCATTGTATAAAATTGCACCCTAAAGTTCCATTTTTTAAATATCATGTGGAGACTATCTAATTCTAATTGGGTTTCTCAAAATGGTATAATAAGTGGGTCCAGCATCTCAGGATCTTATTTACTAATCAATTTTAAGAGAAATTATTTTTGTCATTTATATCAAGAAATTATCATTTACATTACAATGTTATTATATTATTGGCTCTTTCTTTTTTTTAAAAGGTTCCATTGAAATAGTCACTTTTATTAATTCTAAAATGCTAAAATGTCTGGTATCAAACTGGATAAAAACAGGGGAAAATTTGGAGGGGAAGAGATGGGGGGGGGGGGGGGGGGGGGGTGAAAAAATGTATTTGAACACACCTTAGGATCCAGATAAGTGACTGGAAAATATGTAACGTATTTTCACGCATATAAGACACACCTGTATATAAGAAGCACCTGTATATAAGACGCAGGTTTTAACAATTTTTGTAAAAAATATTTTACATAAGCCACAACCTGGGTGCGGGGTACGTAAAGCTTTGTATAAGATGCGTCTTATATACGCAAAAATATGGTAAACTATTTAAGAATGACATATGGGGTAAATTATGCAATGCAATAATTAATTTTAAAAAAATATATATTTAATAATTTATTATTCAAATGATATTCTTGACACTAGAAATATCCCTGAAGATCAAAGAATCCTCGACGCCAGGTATGGACCAATCAAAAGGACAGCTGGTATAAAAGCACTTCCCAGCATAGATTCAATTTAACAACAGCTGAGTTACTGCAACAGCCAAACTTATTTTATACCTCTTGCACAGGATGTATCTACTTCTTGCACAGGATTTATATATCTCTTGCACAAGAATCTACCGTAATGCCAGATTTTCACAAGAGTCTACTGTAATGCCAGGTTCGCACCAAAGAATTATATGGATTAAATTGATGGGCACAAAATATTTGATACCAAAGTCAAGATGGCTTTAAATACTGTACATGTTACAATTAATTATTTACATTTTACTATTTAAGTGTCATTAATCTCTATGCAAAACTTCTGGTCACAGAAGCACATTTTTTCTTTCCGAGAAAATTCATTTTTAAAAAGTTTTTTGTATTGTATGTCGACAATGGATAAAAAAAGATCTTCATTGAAATGTTGGATGCAATATTTTGTATTCTCATGTTAGAAAGTTAGAACACCTTTTCAGATCTTTAGGGCAACTGGATATTCAAAAAGGATATATCACTGCATTCTCCTTTAGATGATAATAGGTCACAGGCTAATTTAAATCCTGTATATTAAATGACCAACAAAATATATACCGGTATTCAGAATTGTTCAACATCTTTTTTTCTTGTCTGCAACCTTTATCACGCAAGGCATTTGCCAAAATTCTTGTTCATTTTCAAAATTACTTTCTAACATGAAAAGAAAGATTTTGAAAGCGGAAAAAAATCATTTATGATTAACATTTTTATAGTTCAGTGGTCTGCAACTTTTTTTGAGTGAAGACCCATTAAAATTAAATGTGGTAAGAAAATATGTAAAGGGGGGAGGGGCAGTTTAAACTAGATTATTTATTCACTTAAAACTGGAAGTTGTAGGCCGCTGGGCTAGTTGAACAAAAAGTCCAAAACATATAAATACCAAAAGACTCTTGTTGATGTTGATTAGTACTCTAGGTCTATTAAATCAACATAATGAGAACTCTTATCAATTAATAATACAAAATTAAAAATGGATATTGCCTTATGATAAAGTGAGCCTCAGATTTTTACAAATGTGTTTACTCCTATTATTATCTATTAACTTCATTTCTTCCTGTGTGTCCAATGGTATCAAAGATGTCATTGACTACACCATTTTATTTCTATCATTTCTTTGAAATAGTTGTTGGCACAAATGAATCCAAAACACGGTTCATTTCTTGAGAAATGGTTATTTAGCACACCTGTATTGTGATAATTTTGTAAACTAAAAAGTTTCCTAGTCAGTTATAATAAGCTCCATCTCAATAAGGGAAACATCTCAAGTTCTATAGATGGGCTTATTTCATGAGAAACTTTTACACAAGACTTTTAATTTCTGTCATATTATTCTCTGGAAAAAATCCATTTACATGGCAAAGAAGCCAATTGAACTTCAGAGTAGAAAGTACTACTAGCTATTTTGGAGGCTTATGTCATAACAAGCAACAGTCTAGTTTTGTATCAAGTTTGTAATATAGTTAAACAAATAAATTGGATTAAATATTCTAGATTGTTCTCCTACCCATCCTTCCTATTCTCTTGAATAAGATTAGAAAATGTTATTGAGGTCACAATGCTTATAAGGTAATAGCATAATAATCTATGCTGTTATTAAATTTATGTACATTTTTACTGCTGCAGCTTTGTGATACATTATTTTGTTTACTCCATGTCAAATTATATATGAAGCATATTCAATATGTTATTTTTTTAAAAGAAGTTTTTTTCTCTGTTGGAATTAATGTTAAGTAGGAATTTTTGCCACAACAAAAATGCAACCTACAGCCTACAAAATAAATATATTTAAAAAAAACAACAGAAAATTTTTTGATAATTTATTTCCAGCAATAACGTGTTGTTTCTTAACTGTACAACATTTTTTCATTACATACAATAGAAACCATGGCTGTATAATCCATTATGAGAGTTCAACCACACAGTCCTATTTCCTAGCATTCCTACTTCTCTTCAGTAAGGAATTCCGCAGTGAAACCTTTTTTTTTTAAAAAAAAAGCAAATAAAAAATGGTTAGTTTTGATACACCATACTTTCTTTGTTTAAAATTATAATAATGCTATTTAAAAATTTCATTTTTTATTTTTGGTTTCAAATTGAAAAATCTCCAACCTGTTTCTCTTTGAATGATCTCTTGACCTTTCTCCTGCGTATCTTGTGTTTTACCATAGTGAATGCCTTTTTCTTATTCTTTTCCTTGTTGGTTGTACTTGCAAATGGGTTCATTTTTTGTGGACCATGTGCAAATTTTTCTCTTCCTTCTCTGCCAGCCTGGGAAAAACAATTTTACAAGAAACTGTAGATTTTTGTCACTTGCATATCAAGCCTTATTTTTTAAAAATGGCAAAAAAATCACACTTTTCCCAAATTTGCCAATAGTGTAACTATAATGATTGGACTTGCTATTCAGTGCATGAATTATACACTTGAGCTGTGAAAAATTGTTGTTTAATTTAATTCAAGCAATACTGGAAATATTTAAAAAAACAAAAAAACATTTCAAATGTGTCTACAAAACAATTCCCCACTTTTCATCTGAATACAAGAAATTGACACTTGAAAACTTTGTTAACTATACAAGAGTATCTTTGAGATCTAGTTAGAGGTGCTAGTCATTGATCCTCTGGCAGTTAAAATTATCACAATTAAATTCTAAGATTTTTCCATTTTGCATAACAGAATTTAAGCAAACCAAACTTTAAATATACTTTTCTGAGTTCTGACTATGATAACTATAGTCAGCATCCAAAGTTTTAAAATAATGACTCGCTGATAATTCCTGCACTGTCAGATGACAACTCACCACAACTGTCGCTAATCTGGATTCTTTGTCATGAGCTTTCTTCTTGTGTACCATTTCTATGTCTCCCAGCCTAGGCAACTCAGAACTGAAACACAATAAAATTGTTCAATAGTGTAAACAATTAAATGCTGCCAGAGAGACTCTGTAGGCATGATAAAAAACTGTGACATCTTTAAATCAAATACTTTTAAAAAAGTGAATAAATTTACATGTCATTAATCCTGAATACAAACAATATAATCATTTGCAAGATTATTATTCTACTATTGCTTTTCCTTTGATCTCAAAAGTTAATAAAACATTATTTGAAGCACATTATTAGAATTTTAACAAATTCAAATGTACATAAAATTATTAATAGCCCGGCAGAGCAAAAATATTTCATGCTGGAATATTTTTTTAATTATCAGATTAAGGTCCACTATTAATTTATTGTTTATAAAATTTAAAAAAAAAGAGGAATTTGTAAGGTTAAAATGGCATATTTAGAATATTTCAAGGAAATAAGAGAAAGATGTAAGGTTTTTAAAAAGCAAACTAACTTGTTTTCTGCTAAAGATGACTCTTGGAACTTTCTCTTCCTAGCTCTGGCGGCTGAAGCAGATTTGATGTCCTTTGAAATCTGCTTAGCATTTATGATTTTAAAATCATCATCAGTCATAATTCTTGTAGCTGAAATCTCTTCTGCCAGCTTCAGCTTCTCTTCAGTCTCAGCAGGTGTCTCCTTCTTCTCAGTCTAAAGAGGAGGTAGAGAATTTAAAATAAAAAAATGTATACATTTGGCAACACTGGCAAAATAACCTAACTATTGACATTATGTCACAGACACACAGCTAACAATGTAACTCATGTATACATCCCATATTCAATTGACCTAGTTTGCTCACCACTTCTAGAAATTGAACATACTGCAAAGAAGTAGACCCCTTCTGGCGATAGTATGACAAGCTGAATGTGACAGTTGATTTTATTACATTCACTTACCCACAAAATACACCAGATCCTGGGACAACAGTGTAGTGTACGAAAGCAAAACAACTTATTCTTTTATCTTGTCACACACTATTGCAGGAGGCAGGCTACTTTTTGGTGGCCCACCCAGTGTAGAATACAATTTTCTCAAAAGGCAACAGAAAACTAAAAGCAGATTGTGAAACTATTCTTTCCGTGAAAACCATCTGTAAATTAGATCACACAAATTGCAGCCACTCACCTCTGCTATCTCCTCATCAGATGAATGATGAACATCAACCCATTCCCCATCACTGTCATCTTCATCACTGCAAGACTCCCACTCTTCTGCCGAGGACAAAAACCCATGAAATTCATTATAATGAACCGTTACTTCGTGCAAACTGCCAGATTACTGGTTATTAAAATTGAATGTTAACTGAGCAATAATATCAATGCATAAATGTTGAATTTCATGAATTTTTAATATATTTTTCTTTAATGAAGGGGTATTAACTACCTTGAGCTTCACTTGCTTCTTTCTGTTTATCTTCCTTCTCAGGAATCACTTCTGCTCCAGGCACATGAGTTTTGGCATCAAGTTCACCGTATTTTAGAATTTTTAATTCCTGTCTGGCCTCTGTAGGTCGACCCTAAATACAACAAAAAATATAAAAAATGTACTAAACTTCCTGGTTAGTTAATTATCACAAACACAATTAAACATTAAAAAATTAAATGATAGCCTTGCATTTATAAAAGATTCTTCTACTAATCATTAACATATAGCCTCACTGACAAACTTAATATTTACTCTTGAAAAAAAAGAGAGTATTAACAAAATACACATTTTCCAGATTTAAATTTTTTTTGTACTTAATACACTAATTTTTAAACAAATACTACACACATTGCTCAAGTTAGAGAGTTTACACATTTTTTAATATATTCAAAATAGATTCCTTTAAACAGAAAGCAAAAAAGTTATTTATTTTTTGACAGAGAATTAAAAATTTGATGTTGTAGCAGAGTTCAAACACTCACCCTGTCTTTCCTGTGAAGAAGATCTGGATTGGTTTTTCTAAACAGTTGAACCAAAGATCTTGCTGCCATCATCACAGCTAAAAGTTTGTATATAAAAGAAAGGAATTAACTTGGAATTAAAACATATATTTTTGTGAACTAGTTAATTCAGAGAGTGGCACCCGGACAGGCAGATCGGGTGTATTTTGCACGTAGAGAGTAGATACAATTATGTTTGAGTTATAACTAAAAAAAAACCAACAACACAGCCTTGCAATATAATAACCTTTGTCTCTGTGTAGTTTATATTGGACCAGATCCCTGAGTAGATCTTCAGACATGGCCAGCGGACACCGAGAGCAGATCTCACGCACAGCATTTAAACCAACAGCCATGACTTCACTAGAATTTCGCTCAGCTATAAAGTTGTTGGCAATGGTCATCAGAACCTCATCCATCGCATCAGGGGGGACAACTTCATGACTCCCCTGAGCAAGGTACAGCAGCAAATGAGTTACCTAGAGGGAACAATTTAACATTAGAAATTGATAATCAAGAGTGTTTTGGCCAGCGTGAAACTACACCCAAATAGTCTCAATATTCAATCCATATTCTCATCACAGAGCACAGGCACTTTCACTGACTCTGTTTGGGTAAAAACACAAAAACAACAACAGTACCCAATAGTCCATATACTTCTAAAACACGCACTATCCTGTTTGTTGCTTAATTATTACCATGCAACAAACAATTATGGAATCTTATTCCTAGTAACGTTATTATTTCCATGTAAGTAATCAAAATATAAATGAAATAACTAAAGAAATCTTAACACTATGTGAACAAAAGAAAATAAGTCATATTGACTGTAACAAAAATTACATTTCTAAATCATAACTTCTATGTTCAGGGAGTGCCATTTGAACACAACAATGCTCACATTAGTATCAATTCATTTACACGGTGCCCTTACTTACTTCTCTCTGATGTGGCTGCAGGAACCGCTTCATGAAAGGATAGAAATTCAGAAGGATCAACTTGTGAATACCAATCAAGCGGGAAATCAAATCAATCATGAGCAACTTCACTTCAAATCTCTCCGTGGTTTTCTCAAGCTGGCGAAACAGTTTTTCAGAAAAATCCTGAGGGTCAAAGATCAAGTGCAGGGCAGAAAAGTTGAAAGCCTCTGGGGCAGTCTTTTTCTTTTTATGCTTATTGATTGCTAGCAGTGCTCTGTCCAGCTTCTTCTTTCTCTTCTTCGTTTTCTTTCCCACTCTGTGCCCCAGGGTCAGTTCTTTAACAGATTTCTTCGGTCCATCATCATCAGAGTCACTGTCATCTTTTTCTTCAAGCTCATCTTTACCTGCATGTAAAAACAAAGGCGTATGCAATTATATAAAATGAGAAAAAGTAAATATTTTTAGTTCATGTCTTTGCTGTGCTACATTGACATAAAATCAAGGGTAAAACAATTGAGGGCCAAATTATAATTATATAATATATATATATAGATATATATAGTCCATTCCCTTTTAAAGAAGCACTGTTTCAATACCAGAATCCCATAAAGTATAATTGGGGATGATAATATTCCACAATACAGACTTAAAACCCAATTAAAAATTTTGGTTCAACACACTTCAAGTAATAAAATTTAAATGGAGCTACCAGATGACATCATTAAAGCTCTTCCTTGTGTTCACAAATAAAAATGCTCACTGCCTTTTGTGAAATTGGGGAAAGTCAAAGGGGAAACAACTCAAGCTGAAATTATTCCTGAGCAGAGCTCTTAAAATGCACAGACAGTCTCATTCCTTCTGGTATCTCTCAAAAAGGTGCCTGAAGGAAGCAGAAGTTTTTACATACACCCTTCTAAGAACAATAAATACATAATGATGCCAAGCAGATATAAAAAAGTTGCAAGCAGATGAACAAATAACAGAATGAATTATTCAAATACCTAGGAAAAATTTCATAGCGGCCACCATGACTTTTGTGATTTTGGAAAAGCAAGCTGTTGTAATCACATTGACTGTCTTAGCATCATTCCATATGTTCCTTTTATACAGTTCAACCATAATGTCTAGAGCCGTTTTCACTGTGACGGCGTTGTTCTCTTGCAGCATGGAGAACATGTATGTCTGAAGGGCTGAGTTCAGCTTGGCATTTTTGTGTTTCGAGTTGATGTTTTTTATGTCAGCCACAACGTACTGGTAGATTGTCTTCCTCAATAATTTGTCCTCACAGCGCAGGAGCTTAAAGAACAGCTGCAAGACTTGTGTGGCGGATATCAGCTCCTTGTTGCGCAGCATAATGAGAGCTTTCACTAAAGTCTGCAAAGAAAAAACAAAAAAAGATATGGCAAGTAAGTTTATCAGTAAATAATATTGTAAAATAATATTTTATGAAAGGACAAACAGAAAGTGACTAAATCATTTCAAAAGCATATTAAAAGCTGCCCATGGCAACTTATTCGTAAGTAAAAAAATATAAGCTAGTTGCAGTCAAAATATATAGATTGTTAGCTTACCATTCTCATTGTTCGGTCCAGAACTGTGCTGTGGTTTTTTAAAATGTCACACAGTTGTCCTGGCATGTCTACCACTTCATCTTTGTAGCAGTGGCCGACCTGTGAGAAGTTGATGATAAACATAAATCAGCTGAATTACCACAAATGCAATCAATAAAAAATATATACGGTATGTGATATCTCTGTATAACTATGGCTGCCATGTTATACAGTCAAACTGCTGAGTAAGTAAGTCTTTAAAACTGAGTATTGCAGATAAATTTGAAATATATTTTAAAATAATTCTTAATAAATAAAACATTGATTTAATCTTGAGGACCCCAAACAGACAACAAAATTTTACCTGAGCTAAGAAACTGATCATCTCATCCAACCTTTCATTGTATTTAGAGGGTTGGAGTTGAAAAGTTTGCATCAAGTTGTGAAAGTACTGCCATTGTTTTAAAAACTATTATAACAAGAATGAAGAAAAACAACAGTTTTGAAATAGCATCTATAAAATTATTTAAAAAATTGTTTAGTGTACAATTACTTAATTCACTGGAACTCAAGTTGACTTATTGCCAATCTTGAATGAGAATGTGTTAGTCTGGACAAATATTATTAATTGACTAACAATTGTGAAAATAGGTCTAATAAGCCCAAGTAAATATGAGGCTAATAACTGTACTTTAATATTATAAATTACATATACATTTGTGTATTTAAATATAAGTAGCTGTAAGATCACTCAAAGAAGAATCGAGCACAGCACTTTTCATATTACGAAATATTAAAAATAATTCATAAAGCTCCCCACCCACAATAACAATTCAATTTAAAAAAAACAACAAATTATTAAAAAAAACTTGTAAAAAATATTTCTTTTGAAGACGAGTTTAACCTTTTACAGTCAAAGCATATTCAGCCTTGTCCACTCCCCAGCGACCAAGCAAAGGGACATAACTCCATTTTAAATGAAGGTTCTTTATCTAATTAATTTATTATAAATAAACTATAAGCAAGAAAATAAAATAAAAAATACCTAAATACAATGAAATGATTAAAGCAAAAGTTGCACCAAAAAACAGTTTCGGGACCCTCCCACTTTGATTTGAGAAAATTCCCAGATCACTCATGATCTTGCTGATCAGTTGGAGTGGAATTGATAGGTCCGTTGTCATCGATGTCTCTACTATTACTATTTATATTCTTCACTTGAATCACTATTACTAGTAGCATCATTTAAATTAATGTCTCTATCAGATTCTTCACTATCACTGCTAGATTTATGAAATAGTGAAGCTTGATTAGGCCTAAGTTCTTTCAAAATTGTATCCAATGCTTGGAAAGCCTTTTTTTACAGCAAAAAAATCGCAACTTTTGCAAAAATCATAGAAAATCAGCCCCTAAACATACCGCGGTCAAACTAGTATCAAAATAAATGCAGACAACAAGGCTTTCTTCAGGTAGAACTATAAATAGTAATGCGCAATGAATTTCCGCTGTGCTAAGAACGAAAACAACCTCGAAACGGGCGGGTTTGGCCGCATCTGACTGTAAGCTAAAGAAAAAAATCGGCGCATTTCGGGCGCATCAGACTGTAAAGGGTTAGACTGAAATGCACTAAAAAGTTGGGCTTATATCGAGAGATCATCCCGTGACGTCATTTGCGTGTTTATTAAAGTTGCAGTGAATTAGGGTTTAGGTTAGGTTGAGGGATTGATTTAGGGTTCAGGCTAGGCATAGGGATCGATTTAGGGTTCAGGTTAGGCATAGGGATACATTTAGTTTAGGTTTAGTGACAGAATTAACTGGTTGTGTCAACCAAGATGGCGGAAACCCCGGGGCGATCTCTCGAAATTTACCAAAAGTTGAAAATAATTAAATTTAATCTCTTAAAATACATTACTCATTGAAATTTTATATGGTTTTGTGATTTTGTTGTACGAGAATAGGCCTATACTATTACACTATTTGTGTCACATACTTGAAAAAAAAATCATGTTCTTTTGAACATACAAAATTTTGGGAGCCATGCCATGACAGTGTTATATCCAGATTTATTTTATTTTTATACAAGCAGGGTTCCACTGTATTTTCAAGAAGGCATAGGCTAGGGAAAATTGATTTAGACATTCAGAGGCTTCTGCCAGATAGCTAAATAAAATATATATAATATATACCACTGGCCATACTCTGGCCTCTTCTTCTATATCTTAAGGGCCCATGATCAATTTATTGATCATTTTGGCTCCTATGCATGTAGATGGGATTTGCAATGTTTCTGTTCCTGGTGTTGATGAGGAAATTTCACTGATTTCAGTGCCACTTTGTGCCTTACTGCTAACCCAAAATCAGCTTGTAATTTAGGAGTTTAATAGACCTACAGACTACTTTATCTTTAACTTTAGAGATTTAAAGAAAACAATAGTCTGAATAATTGAATAGTTCATCATGATAGGTAGAGTCTGGCTGGCATAGGCTATCACTCATCAGTACTCTGAGTACTGTAACATTCACTATCACTGACTATCACACTTGGTCACTGAGTCACTCCCCTTTCATTACTTTCAATAATCAATTCCTCAACGTCAACATTTGATCTTTTTATTTTACAAATTAAACAAATATGCAACATATGAATATGAATATAGTCGTATAGTGTAAGAAAATCATCATTTATATTATTCATTAATTTAATTACTTATTTATTATACACAGTCAAACTTCAAAGTCAATGAATAACAAGTTAATGATATGCCTATATTCTATATAATTCACTAATGAAAAATGTTAATAACAAATAATGACTTTGCGAACGGCGGAATGAACTAACCTCATCTTTGTATGATATTGGATCTCGTTTTATAAGATTCTGTAGCTGTGGTAAGTCTGCAGCAAAGTGAATCGATTTAGCTGCCGATTTCCCTGACATTTTAAATTTATATGTTATAAAATTAATATACAAATCTGTTTTATTGATAAAATTAGCTTCGCCCTCTCATTCCTCTTTATTTCACACGCTACACACAACATAGTCAAATTATCAAATTTTGTACTGCAATAAAATTTCTTAGACAATAACACAAAAGAGCTAAATTCGCACTTCCGTTTCAAATCGAAAGTGATTTATTGTTTATGAGTACAAAGTTTGCATGTTTATGTTATATGTTTGTGTGGTTTGCTTATTTACTTATTTGTAGTTAGTTTAAACATTCTTAATGGCAGATTTTGATGAAAAAAGTGGCGTTATTCCTTGCAAAACAGAATGGGGATCTTGGTGGCAAACTATTGATGAAGTTTTCATCGAAATAAATTCAAGTACCAATTTAAACGCCAAAGAAATTAAATGCACAACAAAGCCAACTCACATCTCAGTGCTGATAAAAGGAGACGTAATTTTTGAGGTTGGACTTGACCGTCAAACGATGACAACTATCTTCTAATAGCAAATTATTTATAAAACTTGGTTTAATATTCATACATTAGCTTACATAGAATTACTTTGTCATATTAATATGAAGAATAAGACATAAATCTAAAACTAAAATTACTAAATTAAAAACCTAATTAATAATCACTAATCACATATTTATTTAGTTAAAATAATCAAATATTTATTTTAACATTATCATAATCATGTCATTAACACTATTAACTTTTTTAGTCAAAAAGGCTATGTAGTAATGTACGTAAGTATCTGTATACTATATGCCTCTCAGGAAACCAATGATTAAAAATGTACAACTTATCAAAGGGGTGTTTCAAGGCAGTCACTGAGGATTTGAGGACAGGGAGATGTACGCTCATTCCTTTCTTGTCTCATTTATCTACCCCAACACTTTAAGTATAAGAAGCTCAGATATCTTCAAGAATCATGGTGTTTGAAAGCTCTTTTTTGAAGAAAGAGAAGGCAAGCGTAGAGGGCAGGGTTGTCACTATATACAGCATTTGTCATAAAATCAAACACATATTATTATTTAATAAAATGCTGAAAATGTTGTCATGAATATAACTTGAAATTTAAAAAAACAAACTAGCTCTTTAATGTCATGGTAAATACATTGACTCACTTTACTTGGATTAGTCATTAAATTGCCCAACTTTAGGTTTAAGAGTTGTTACATCCAAAATTGTTTCATGATAGCAAATTATTTCAAATTGTCAGAATTTTAAACTTTAGTTCTTTTTTCAACTTGTCATCCTTCCATCAGGGTGCATTATATGAAACAGTACACAGTGATGATACAGTATGGACTCTAGGTAAAACCTACTTTATTCTCTATGATCACAGCTTTACTAGCTATTTAAAAATGGTAGTTATTTGTCTTTGAATAATATTAATTTGGAAACTGCAAACCAGTACTTGGTCCAAATGGTTGCATATTATATTAATATTCACAACTCAGTTGAAAAGTGTTGCTTTAAAGGCACAACAAGAAGCCTATACCAATTTTTTACTCAATAAAATCAATCAGGCCATTGCCAGAAAATATTGTGTTCATCCGTTTTATAAGTTAAACTCTAAAAAGTCAATGCTCTGTAATTTTCAGAGGACAAACACATAATTCGTATTTGTTTAAGTAAAGCTCACAACACAGCTGCTCACTGTTGGCAATCACTCCTGGTGGGCAAATATAAAGCTGATCCATACACATTTGATGAGATGCAGAAAAAGTTGACATTGCAAAGGTTTCAGTACGAGGTAAGCATGAGTCATGGGAGGTAAGCACGAGTCGTGGCTCTATCAGTCAGAATACTCCTGCTTCAAGCTATTTTTTCTTCTTTAAATTTTGTCTCATTTAAATTTAGAAGAAAAGTTGAGCAAGTAAATTTAAAATAATTAATTTGAGCGAATTAAATAATTTAAATAGCACGCTATGGAAATGAACGCTTTTTTATTTTCTGTGGAAAAATGCAAATTAAAATGACAAATGTTCTTTTTCACCAAGTCATGAATGATTTAAAATAAATTAAATTATAATTTTATGTTGCAAAAATTATCAAAATTTTATGTTTAATTGGGACTCAATCAGTAATTCAATGTTTTAGTATAAAACTATTAATAAATTAATATCTTTTCTCAGAATCCAGGTATGGACTTTAGTGGTGCATCCATGACAGGAAATTATCAGGGAGGAGGTCCGCAGCTGCCAAGTTAATTTACTTATAGCTCCCAAGTTGACCTACTAAAAGCTGCCATTAAAAAACCTTTGTTATTATATAAAATTGATTACAAAATTTTGCATTAAAATAAGGCATAGGAAAGGAATTCTGAAAAAGATTTAACAAATGAGGATTTTTGTGTAGCTGGCACCGTTTCCTAATAATTTATAGCATTAGTGTTAATAGTATATAAAATTGTCTTAAGCTTCATATTTTTAGTGGCCTGAACAGTTTAATCGCAAAGAAATTGAGCTTTTTTATATTATTAGATTTTACAAAACTTAACATATTGAACATTGTAATTCCTCAATCTGAAGGAATAACTAATGCCAGGAGTTCTTATGATATAGTATCAACTTCATTTGTGCAAATAAATTTCATTTAACTCTGTGTTGAACTGATATCTGTGTTGAACTGATATTTTTATAAATGTCTTTATTATATAATAAGGTCATGATATTGGAATACTTACTGCTATTAATAAATAATGAAATAAATGTGTATTATTTGTACTGGTATAAAGAATTTGTTTTGTATTTTATGTCATTTCCTAAAAATCCCTAAACACAGAAGCATACACAACTGACATAAGTGACACATGTAGAGAAAATTAATAAAGAAAATACAATGTCTTCCATATTGGATCAGCAAAGAAAAAAACCAAAAGCAAGCATATTTAAGATAGTCATCATAGTTTTATTCACTGTTGATTCATATATTATTCAGTTTTATATACCGGTATTTTTGTGCTAAAATGTCGATGAGGTAAAAAAATTTAAGAATATATACCAGGGGTCGGGAACCTATGGCTCGCGAGCCAGATGTGGCTCTATTGATGGCTGCATCTGGCTCACAGAAAAATGTTCGATTATAAAAAAAAAAATGTTTCTTTAGACTCCTTTGATTAGCAACAGCATAACAATGTTATTAAAAAGAATTCAGAGACATAATTATTGCATTTTTAGTGTTTAAATTACACAAAATGCACACATTTACTTGAATTTTTAGTTTTAAACATAATGTATGGCTCTCACAAAATTACTTTTCAAAATATGTGGTGTCCATGGCTCTCTCGGACAAAAAGGTTCCCGACCCATGATATATACGGTAGCATGAATTGTTACCCCCTAATCAAAGCATCAGCTAACAAAATGTAGCAATTAGTATACAGAAATGAAACCAACAAACTATTTACAATACAAAATTATAATCATGAATTTGTCAAATAAATACAACAAAAAATGTATAATATATACATGTATATAAATACCAGTTAATTTACCAGATTCACTCGGCTTATGCAGTCAGTTTGCAAGTTATAGAGTTAGTTATGTAGCAATATAATCAAGCTAGGAGGTAAAAATCTAACATAAGCTTATAGAATCTACATGATACATCAGAGTGTGGAAAAAAAAATATATGTAAGTATACTGTGGGTTTTTAAGGGTTAGAATATAATAACATATGGCAGATTAAACATATCATTTAATGGTTAGAGCAATATAAAAAAACAAACTGATGAGAGAGTACTACCCATAGGTCACTAAGTACAAACTTTAATATCAAACTGTTCCTAAGTTCCCTTCTACTAAGGGTTTTAAAACATGGAATGGAAATGAATCATAGGCATACACACAAAATAAAAAACGTCATTTTATTAATGGGTTTTATTTTTAATCAATTTTGTGTGTAATTTCTTAAAATTTAAACATGAGTCACTGGTGAAAGTACTATGGTAATTAAAAAGTGATGAAATACGTAATAAGAAAACTGTACAAAAAAAAAAAAACAACACTATATCAAGTTAAAAATAAAAGTGTTACTAATTATAATTGTCAATATTGCAACGAAAGACGTCAATAATTGATGTATTTTTTGTTCTAAGAGAGGAAGAAAATACATCATCCATTTGAGTATTGAGCAAGTCAGTCTTTTTGAATATTCATGAATGAAAGTTTATAACGATACAAATTTTTCAAAACCTGAATGATGGATATCTCACAGTTTTATACTTTGAAAAAATGATACAAGTATCAATTTGAGGCAAAAAAGAAATATCCTTCCAAATAAAGGATTTTCATTGATCAAAACATGAATTAAGCATTACAATGATAATCATCTCCATTCAATTTTGTGTTTAATTTACCGGTGCCATTTAACCTTCTTCAACCAAAAAACCCTTGAACTGTTAAGATACATCATAAGCTGCTATATTAGTGAAAGCAACTGATCATAATAGAAAAACAAGCAATTTCAAGCTATTAAAGCAAAGTGGAAATTCCATTTTCCTAATTAGCTGTTCTTTAATAAAGCCGTGATTCTTAACATTAATTTTCACCCACTGAGTTTAAGACTCTTAAAATGGAGCTCTCTTATATTTAATTACACACGCGGGCTGTTCACAAAGATTACCAGTTGTGCGTAGTCTTCATCAGTAGAGAGAAAAATATGTGCAATGCTTAAAAGTGTTCAATTGTTTTAATTTAAAGATATTGGCACAGGTAAAACAACAAATTCAAATAGATACAAAAAATATGAAATTAAACTAGGGGGTTTGGAGGGGGGGGGGGGGGATGGGTAGTTACACACTTAGTAAAAAATCTGAAAAAACCTAATAAAACTTTAATTACAGATATATACACGTTTGAGATGGTTGACAAGGAGGACAAGTTAAAAAAAATATAAATGAGTTTTGTCAAACTCTTGGAATTCTTATAACTTTAACTGCTCCAACACCATGACACTGGATCAATTTCTAGTTAAGTCTGCAATGTTGGGTTGCAGCATTCAAGATAGGCATAGCACCCATGATGAGATAAGCTTTGCCAGTAGAGATGGGTTGACTTGTATTCATAAGGATAGTCCACCAGTTCAACTTATCTCGATAAGCCTGCCAGAATCACACCAGTTGACATCACGCAAAAAGCAGCCACAAGAATCAAAATATTGCGGCAGCCCTGGTAAAGAACGAAGCTTTGTTTTAATATGTGCAAAAAACATTAAGATTGCAGCCCTTTCAAATTTAATCAAATAGTAACTACAATTACAACAAACTTTATTTCAAAATTTGAAAAATGTCATACTCATTAAAATTAGTAGCTAGTGTGATTTTTATTTATTGTATTTGAAATGATGCTTTGGGGGACTACAAAATATTATACGACTGATCTGAAGGAACTCTTATGGAGTTCTTTTATGGTTGATTTAGATATCTTGTGTTGGTTAAAAATGTGTACTTATTTATGTGCCGAAAATTATTATGTGATAAAAAACATTTTCATTTATTTTGATCAATTAAGATTCTTATATTATCTTACCTTAAAGAAAAAAACTCTGTTACCAATCATAAACTTAACACATGTTTCACCGTAGCTAAATTATAAAATTACTTGACAAATTACTTAGTTTTTGCACAACGCTATTTTCGTTAACAACATACCTTGACTTCATGAAAGATCAACACACCCCAGAAGAGTGAGGCTATTGCACACGGGGCCGTGGAGACAATGGGAAAAGAGACAGCTTCTGAAAGCTCAGCGTTAGCTATGAACCAACAAGTTGTGGCTATACCCCACATAATACCAGACACTATGCCAGGTAGGATCACACTAGGGTACACCTAAAGCACAACAGAAGAAAACTTTTGTAAGATGTTTATTGGATTTGAAATGTCCTGGTAGGCTACACTTTTAATATCTGAGATAGGTATTCCCTCCAAACTCTATTTTTAATACAAAACAATTAAAAAAGCCAAACCATAAACAATTAGCATTTCTAGTACTTCGTTAAACTCATGTAAAATAAACAGGGGAGATAACCGAAAAAAAGTAACTAATTTAATGACTTCCCTTTAAAACTGAGACTAAAGACAATTTTATTAAAATCACAGTTTGTTAGAGAAGGAAATACCTTTGGTTTATTTCTTTGAAATGCACAATATGCAAAAAAGTAAGTAGAACTGGTGACATATATACCCGTGAACTGGGAGAATGTGTAGTCCAGATCTGAAAGATAAGGAGTTAGATAAGAAAGGAGATGAATGAAGCATTTCAATAAAGGAGTTTTTTGCTCTATACCCATAAATGTATTATCATACAGTCGAAATTATAACAGACTTTATTAAATTTTGATTGGTAGATAATTTTTTTTTAAAACATACTGATATACCGTTAAACTTCAAATTATAACAGACTTTATTAAATTTTGATTGGTAGATAATTTTTTTTTAAAACATACTGATATACAGTTTAACTATTGTACATAAAATTCAAAGAAAATGATATATAGCATCATCACTGTCCAGTCATATGGAAGCCGGGCTGCCAGGTGGCTTGCATGGAAAGTACATAAGAAATAAACATACAACTCCTTCAAGCATTTCCCAAAAAAGCAGACCAATATTTGATAGCTAAGTATTTGAGCCTTGCAATACTTAAATCGTTTTAGGCATATAATGACAAGTCTTAGTGTTTGATTGCATAGTCTGTGATTGTTGTGACTGAAATGTGTACTATGAATAGTTTTCCACAGGTTAAGTTATCAATTGTGCCATAATTATGAAAATCCAAGGTTTGACCATTGTGATATCCGTCAGGACATTAAATGGCTTCTATTACCTATACATTTTTCAATTTAAATATTCTGGTGACAACATAAAAAAACCATTTCAAGTAAACATTTTCCCATGGCTTTGTCTTGTGCAGATTGCAAAAAATGTAACATTGATGGATCTATTGGGAATTTCATGGAAAGGAATTATTTGTTTCCAGTTCAGTCCCTACTCAGTTCAATTCAGTATTACGTCTTTATTCTTAAAATTTTATTTATAATTGAGTCTCCCTAATTCTTACTTTACCCCTTCTAATACAAGAAATATTAACAATGTAATATTACCATTCTGGCTGGCTTCGCTGTAATGCTCCTTGACATAAATTGAGGGTGTGAAGTTGATGCCATACATGATTCCAGAGAACACTGACAGCACCGTGCCGCTGAAAGAGGTACAAAAAAATGTTTGTTTCACTGGTTTCAGCCATTAATAAATGACATTTCATTTAAAAAAAGGTCTTTTCAATGAGTTGTAAATTTTGGCAGACAAACTAGTGAAAGAATGAATTCAGTTTATCTTACCTGAGTTTAGAAAAGAAATACAATAAATTGTCTTCAATGGTTTTGGGGGGGATTAACTTAAATAGAACATTGTGAAGGAAATGCATCTAAGAGGAAATATGACGATAAAACATTGCAAGTGATAATGCAATGATTCTACTGAATTTATTTTAAGTGTCAAAAACGTCAGTCATGAGCTTACATAATTCTTTTCCTCATGGGGGAAAAGTTTTCTATAAACATTTTGTCATCTGCTGTGCTCTCCTTTTTACTTTCAATTGGAACTGGATTAAGATTGACCTTGGTATGCTGTTGCTGTGAACAAAGAAATCTCAGGTGACACTTTGTGGTAAATGCCGTTAGACATTAGAAGGCATCAAAAGAAAATTTTTTAACAAATTTTTATTTTTCACGAACAATTTACTCTTAACTAATGGCATGCACTACAACACCTCGAGGGTAAGGGATGTTTTCTTTTCATGCATTATGAAATATTAGTGATCAAAAATTCGTATAATTAATCAAATAAAAAATATTTTGTTTTTTTGTTGACAGGATAGTTAGCAACAATCTTATAAACTTTGTTAAACATGACATGTAGATTTAAAGATGGTACTTAAACAAACATACAACTAACAGCAGTTAAACAAACATACAACTAACAGCAGTTCTCAATTTACAAACGAGTTCTGTTCCTAGAGGTTATTAATTACTACTTGTTTTTGTGCAGTTTGCCTCAAACTCAAAACCTAAATAAGCACTGCTTTTGGATACTCTGCAATCCTACTTGCTAAATATCATTTTTGCATGAATATGTACCTTTAATTTCAATGATACATTGAAAATAAAGTTGAACAAAAATTTACAGAGAAAACAAGATACGATAGTAAATAGTTAATTTTAATTAAAGACAAATACAATGTTTGAATAAATATGAACATATAAAAAAAGTCTTTAAAATGTGATATTCGTAATGGCAAATGCTCGTAAATTGATAACTGCCTGTGATGTATTAGGTAAAAGATTAAGAAAAATTCAATGGTAAAAATTTAGTAATTTACATAAACTGCCACCTAGCAGACTCATAGGCCTCCATGCCGGACATTTTTTTGTTTGTTTTTGAGACGATATTTCTTTGGGTTTTGATCAGATATGTCAATGTGGAAACCTTACGCTGCCCTAAGCTTATCATGTTATGCTACATGATCTTATAAAAAATAAATTACTTGTTCATATTAGAAAAGGGAAAGTTAAGGACAGTTTCTCTTCTGTTGGTTGACGTAAGCCTTACACACAACATTGAACAGATTTTTCTCTATGAGACTTTGTTTAGAGTTGACAAACTATAGACTTACTGTAGATCTGTTGTAAACAAGAACATCTTCATGTCCTGGCCCCGGGGCTAGTTGTGAGCTTCTGTAAGAATCATTTATGGAGGCAGCCTAAAAAAGGGTGGGGAGACCTCTTAGCAATAACCAAATGAAAAACATTAACCAACTTTTTCCTAAGGTCTGCTAGTTGATAACCACTTTAGAAGACAAAGTGTAAAATTAATACACACTTTAGTCTAATTTTGCAACTATTATCGCAATATAATGACAGTCTGCAATTAAATATAACCTTTCTGCTCACTAAACTGCTGGCCAGGCTTAAAATAGGTTAAGTCCTAGCCATAATTCATGAAAATGGAAGCTTTCTTGTTATATCTCTGGAGTTTTTGGTGACTTCAATGAGTAATTTGGAATCAGCATTATCCCCCTTTGGGGATAACCTTTTTGAAAATACTATGCATAATGGGGACACCTCCAACTTTATGATCCTGACACATTACAGTACTATTGCTGAGCCATGTCTTAGAATGAGGAGAGGATTAAATGGAAAAGGGCTGGAGCAAATTTTAAAGAATTTAAAAATAGTTAATGTAAGTTAAGGTAAGTAAGGAAAAGCTTACAAAATTTGTTTGAACTCACATGTCTAGATGGTATGAGTGGCGCCCTCTCACCATCGGTGGGTGTGGCAATGACAACCTCCATGTCTGTGGAGTTTGAACTGACCTCATTCTTCACAAGCACATAGAGGACAATGCTGGCAAAGGCTAGGCCCACACCAGCGTAATTCATGGCAGGGTTGCTGATGACATTGGCTTTAGTATCAAACCATCCAAATCTGGTAGATAGCAGATGTAGTAGCAGAATTAGTTAAGACATAATAATATACTCTAATTTATTTCCTATCCTTTTATGACACCAATTGAAAACCATTAATTCATGCAAGCATAGCCGGTAACACCTTAAAAATTGATACTATGGTTTAATTATGTTTGTTGTCCGTGCTGATGATATTTCTTTAAAGTTACTTACATATAACAACAGTTTCTACCTACAGACATGTACAATATTCAACACTATCACATGATGTAACTGCTTATACACTGCACTGTCTACCAACTGTGACAACAACTTAACAGTCTTGGTAATTGTATGGATGCTCCCTCTTTTTGATACTCTTGCAATAGGTATTGTCTAAATCATGCACATGACTTCCACAGCTTTCTTAAATGAAATACTGAGTTCTGTTTAGCACACTTCACTTTTATTAAATTACCCACAGAGTCACATAAACTATTTTAATGTAAAATAATAGCTCCTCGAATACAGTTGTAAATAGAATGATCATAACACATCATTATGCAGCTCAAATAATAATTATATCCTTGGAAATAAAAGGCAGCCTCCTTCACAACAATTAAATATATATAACTCTCTGTCTCTGGAAAACAAGGCACAGCCATCCCCATGCTACTTTTGTACTCCCTTGTTTTAGAGTATTGTATTTTCTCAGACATATTCAAATGGTCTAAATATTGAGACATTACACATACTAATTGGCAAATCACAAAACATTTAAGTAATAATTTTCATTTTTTGTTCCTTATGTGGGTGTGTGTTAGGAATTAATGAGAATACTCTGTCTTTAGAACTTGATAAGATGCACCACTCTGGAAGTCAACTCTAATTAATCCTCATACATCTCATTTTTACACTCAGCCTTGCTAGATTTTCTTTCTAGTTATTAGATTAAAAAACATTACTCAATAAATGGATCCTATTTTCTAATCACTTACATATCCTCTGTTACACTCAGCCTTGCTAGTTATTAGATTAAAAAACATTACTCAATAAATGGATCCTATTTTCTTGTTACACTCACCTCCCACTTGCCCATCCTGTGACCAGTCCGAAAGTACCCCATATACTCATGCCTAGACCCATGCCAATAGTCTTGAAAACAGGGACAACACACAAGTTACCTAAAGCGAGGAACATAATGAGACCATTAGTCATAGCCCAAGCTGAGGATAAAATACAAAAAACGTATAATCAAGACTCATTTCCTCTTCAGTTCCCTTGTCACTGGTTACAATGTTTGTTTTTGTCAACAACAGTTGATGGTTTATCAAGGTAGGGTTTGGAGCCAAGTGGATGGTTTACCTGAGTAGGGGTGGAAGCTGAACACAATCCAATTTCACAACAAAATAAAGTTACATATTTTATTTTCAAATAATTTGGCGACTTTCCATGTGTGCTCAGTAGACCTGATGCTTTCCATGTGTGCCCAGTAGACCTGATGCTTTCCTATGAGTGCCCCATAGACCTGATGCTTTCCTATGAGTGCCCCATAGACCTGATGCTTTCCTATGAGTGCCCCATAGACCTGATGCTTTCCTATGAGTGCCCCATAGACCTGATGCTTTTTTATTCTTAAATTAATTTATTTTTGCTTCAATACCATAAATGCAATGAAATTATTCTACACAAAAGATTGTCATAAATTAAATTTTGGGATTAAATTTAAAAATACAACTTAACTACAAAAAAACTTAACTAAAACTTTTTTTTCCACAAATGCTTTGACTCCTTAGAATTATTTATTTTTCCTTAGTAAACCTACCTGTTGTCCATATGGTGCCTCCAACCATGACTAGCGGGTAAAATGTTGCATTCCGAATGAGCTGTACGATTACACCTACAAGGAATATCCCACTGCAAAGAATCCACTGGAAAAACATACCTAGCGAATACAGATGAAATACAAGAGTTTAAATTGGGTAGCATAAATAAAAGTTTATTAGGGAAATATGAATGCATGCAATCCAGAGTCTTAAATTCATTATTAATGAGCAAACTGTATAAAAATGACTAAAATATATGTGTATTATAGAGCAATATCGTCTCCTCGCAGTTCTTCGGGACATTACCTCAGCTTAAGTTTTTATTTTTACTTTTTAAATTTGTTTATTCTGTTTGCACTACTTGCTAACAAATATTTCTTGCTGACAAGTTTGATGTCTTGTTTTATATTTTTCAGGTTTTCCCCTAACCTGTGCTTTCTATTTCCTAGAACTTTAAGTTCCCATAAGGTTTTTGGTGTGCTTTATTGTTTATGGTATGCAATATATTTTTTATTTTAAATTACAATTTTTATCCATGAAGTTGAATGAAGGTACATCAATAAGACATTTTTTTATGTGCAATCAAAAATTTTGTCAGTACCAAAATTAAAATAATTTTCTTTGTTTATTTTTTGACATTTTAAAACACGCATTGAGTTGATGCTCCATAATAATAAAAATATTGGAAGAAGTGCAGCAGTCACTAATATGTGCGGTCAACGTCCAGTCATTTTCCCACTTCTCCCTACAATGTCTGAAGCCCCAGCATCATACTTGAGTTAAACTTACCATCCCCAGTGTAATACTTTTTAATGGGCACAAAGTTACTGCCGTACATGATGACAGCCACAAAGGCACAGATGTAGCCCACATAGACTGGATAGGGTTTTGGTGTCTCTGTTGTTGTTGTTATGTTCGGAGCGGTTGATGTGGTACTGGTATTCTGATACAAGATGTCTAGTAAACTCATGGTTGCCATGGTATCAGTTATTTGTGGAAAAGACTATTTGAAGATCCAAGAATGATGTTAATGTCTAACAAGCTTCTGATGGTAGGAAAATGTTAACTTGATCTTCTTGACTCTATGTCATGTTGGGCTAACAAGTTGAAAAAAGACGAAATAAAACACTTATTTAATTTTTTTTTCACTGAATAATTTTTAGCATCTAAGTGATACTATTTAAATTCAGACTTAGGGTGGGTGATCTATAAAATGAAATTTCAAATAAAATGTAATGTCTGTAAACAATAATCCATAAGGCAGAATCAAATTAAGACAAAACCAATCATTAAAATGTTTTTAATTTATTAAATTAAGTTATATTTTAATAAAAATAATCAATAAAGCCTTTAAAAAAATAATAAAATTAAAAGCATTACTGCTGGCAGAATATAAAAATAATTTCTCTGTTACCTAATAAAACAAGTTGAAATTCAATGACGTAAGCATGTACACCAGAAATAAACGTTGACAAAAATACCAAACTAAATACTAACTGATGACTTTTTACTTATTAAATTTATTGAACAACTCCAATCAGAATAAAAGAATGAGTGCATCCCTCAAGGCTAAATGAGTTGTACAACTGACCACACAATGTCATACCACAGCCTCTGTTATAGCAGACCTGATGTAAGAGCGGTCACCTGAAGTCACCAGCTGACACCTGTCAGGTTATCAGCCCCACTTTAGATTAGTGATGGTCACAGGACATCAAGTTAACCAGTAACATCCCTTTGACATTTGACTCTGCCCACACTCACTTGAGTCAACATAGATCAAAGCTTTTTTTCTTCTTCTACATCATGTTTGATTCCATGTCACTGCTTACCACATGGGCACGCATCCAACAACATGGAACTCCCCCCCCCCCCCCCCCCCCCCCCCACCCATCAGATTAAGTCTCTTCATTGTTTTTTTGAGCCACCAGTCATTTATTCTCTAATTAATTTGGAGGCAGTTTAAATAAGAAAGTCAGGTAAAGCTGATAACCTCTTTAAATATGTAGCAGCATTGGTGGGATACACCACAGGTGATAACATTCCAAACCATCAGTCACTGGAGATAAACAAAGCCAACTTTTATCACACTGATTAAATGCTCCGTAAACATAAGTATGAGGAGTGACCCTGAACTAAGCTTAACTCTTTGAGTTCCCATGTCTTTGTTCTACCTGTATACTCAATATTTTCAGCTGGGGAGGGGGGGGGGGGAAAACTACAATGACTCAGGCATTGACCTCATTTTCTTTATTTCATGTAAGGGAATTAACCCAATTACATGCAGGGACAACCTTGAAATATTGAACTGTGATATGTAGATCAGTGTTTCTCAAACTGTTCCTTTTCACCAATAAAGGAATTTGGCAAATTATTGGGGAAAAAAAAAATGAATATGTTTCATGTTTGAGGTATTTTTATTCAAACCAAAAGGCAAAGCAAAATCTCATCCAGAAGTTAAATATATATTTTAAGACTTTAAAAAAAAGATATCAAATAATAGTGTTTTACTTATTATTTTATTCCATAATATAAATTACTGGTTTTATTTAATTTTTTTCTTCAGTCCTAAATTTATTAATTAATTTAAAATTGATTTATTTGAATTTTTTAAGTAAAAGCTTTCTATAATTGAATGATAGAATAAGTATTCACTCCCACAACACATCTCACTATCCAGACCATCCAAGCCTTCAAAACAGCCCTCAAATCAATCTCTTCAAAATCTACTATCCCGACTGATTCTCATCCCCTTCTGACTGATAAACGATGCTGCTGGGTGCCATCCATGGATTGAGATGTTAATAGTTCTCGGTGGGCAGGGTGAATCTATATATTTTTTTATTTTTATACAGCTATTTTTAAAAATTAAATAAATGTATGTAATTTTTTAAAATGTCATCATTATGTTTAATAATTTTTATGTGGTGCATGGTGAGCCCAGGCCTAGGCGGTACCGCGCTATAAATGACCACTGTAATAATAATAATATTACCATTGCATTTAAATTGAATAACATAAAAATAGCAAATTTAATAGGAAAGATTTTTTTATTTAATACCCATGTCAGTCTTGATTGAAAAAAATTAAATGTCCAAAAAGATAACTTATCCAAAAAATGTTTAATCTGATCTAACTGAGGCCTAGTTTTTTTTTATCAACAAAACAGAAATTTTGCTTTAATGACATCAAGTTAATTTAACAATAAAAAAAAGTATGTGTTAATATGAATGAAAGATAAAACTATGAAAGATAGATGAGGAAAATAAATTTAAATATCAAAACCTCAACTTATATTTAAATTATGTGATAACTGGTTTAATCACACATTTAGAGCCAAACTTTGAAAAACCTAGACTAACCTAATCTATGAAAGAAAGTTTACCTCATTTAACTTCCGGTAAAAATTTAAACTACCGGTACGAGCTTTTCAAATGGCAGTCAGGGAAGGGCTATAAAAAGGTTGCATTTGTTGCACCAGAAAACGAATCCTTTAATATTTTGTTATCAGTAATATGGGATACGACCACTTACAAAAAAGGACAACGTTTTATGTCTGGGAGGAAAAAGCGATTGAAGTTGTTCCGCTTTCATATATTTGGTGCCGGCTATGTAAACATAGATTGGATGGCGATACCATGAACTGATAGGAAAGAAATTATTCTGACTGACCGTATGCTATTTCTTTCAAAATTATATCATTGTGTCTGTTTTAATTAGCCCTACCGGTAACTTAACTTACTGAGCTTTAGTTTAGATATATCAAACAGGAATTAAGAACTACTCAGATGAAGAAGAAGTGGGAGGTGTCCAAAAAATATAATAAAAAATGAATGCATTTGAATACCAGTACTACATTTTACTTAATATTATTATTGTCCCTGCTACCCCTAGCTAAATTTAATTGTATAAATCTAAATTCCCCACTGGTTTGGGTTACATAGGCAAAAATAGGTAGCATCTATAAATAGGTCATTTTTAAGTCTTAAGAGATAATTAATCACCTCCTCTTTTTCAAATAGTCCTCTCATTTATTGACAATATAAATATGATAAGAAAAAAATTCATATCATGAAAATGTTAAAGCCCTTGAAATAATTTCAAGTAGGTCAAGGCAACTATAACTAGATAAAAATATTTATTCAAGGCCAGGTAGTTCATATGTGGGGATAAATGAAGCCACTGTAAAAATTGCTTTTAATGATGCTAGGCAGGGTATCATTTCATAACAACATGCTATGGGGTCTAGATGATACCATGCCATGGGTCTTGGAGTCTAGATCAGTGATTCTTACCCTTCCTAATGCTGCGACCCTTTAATACAGTTTCTCATGTTGTGATGGCCCCCAACCATAAATTATTTTCATTGCTCTTTCATAACTGTGGAGTATATGTGTTTTCTGGTGGTCTTTGGCGACCCCTGTGAAAGGGTAGTTCGATCCTCAAAGGGGTTGTGGCCCACAGGTTGAGAACCATTGGTCTAGATGATACCATGCCATGGGCCTAGATGATACCATGCCCCAAGCCCTTGTTGATAAATTCCTTCTTAGTATGAGTTCACCAAGTACCAGTAACAAACTCCTGCAGCTGGAGCGTTAACTGCAGGTAAGCTTGGTAGGCTCTGTTGTTGTCTAGGAATACAACAATATCAAATGAATGCTTTCATCCACTCTTGATCTAAAAAATAAGTAACAATGCCCGGTGAAAATAAAAAGAGTACTTTATTCGAAGGTTCTTCTTTAAGTTCAAAACCACAAGTTTCCCATAATGAAAACTCCATGCCAACTGCAATCAAGATGGCCGAACCTCCAATCTGAGTTCACGACCTTCCGCTGGCAACAACATTCAGAGCAACAAAATGATCAATAAATTGATCGTGGGCCCTTAAGATATAGAAGAAGAACTGAAAACCCCCATCAATATGAGAACTGTCAACACTTAACATACTTGCTGTCACTGACAAACTAGGACTTGCACATATGTCATTATGATGACAACTACAGAATTCCCATCATAACTAACTTAGATAACTACAGAATTTCCCATCATAAGTAACTTAGATAACTACAGAATTTCCATCCTAACTAATTCGGACAAATACAGAACTCACTCATAACCAACTCAGATAACTACAGAGTTCCCATCATAACCAACTCGAACAACTACAGAACTCAACTCCCATCATAACTAACTTAGATAACTACAGAACTACCATCATAGCCAACTCAGACAACTACAGAACTCCCATCATAACTAACTCAGATAACTACAGAAATCCCATCATAACTAACTCAGATAACTACAGAAATCCCATCATAACTAACTTAGATAACTACAGAACACCCATTATAAATGTCCTGTGCCCTGTGCTCACACATCATTTAAACACCTGACTGTTTCTGGACCTTACATAAATCGACCAATCCCAACTGGACCTCACAAAACTATTTATCAAATCATCACAACAACTATTCCATACACAAACCGACCATGCTTCCAAAACCAGTTCATAACACCCAGATAATACCATTAGCCAAGATGAAACAATGCCAAGGGCTTAGATAAAACAATGGCCCAGGATCAGATGATGACACCTTTCTCTGGCCCAGATAATGAGACCAAGCCACAGGTTTAAATAATAACACCATGCCCCTCATGGTCCTAGATAATGACACCATGCTCTAGGCCAAATGATGCCATGCCATGGGCCTAGAAGACACCTTGCCACAGGCCTAGATAACTATATCATGCTTCTGGCCCAGCCAATGACATCATGCTCCAGATAATAACGCTGTGCCACTGGCTTAGATACTGACATCCTGACCCAAGCCCATAAAATGATACCATTAAAAAAAAACATTTTCTACTATTACTAATAGGGGTAACAAAACAGAGAACATGTAATTGTATGCTTCTGATGCAGAGAGTTAAAGAAAATCTGTATTGATGACTTTTAAAAATTAAAAAAATTAAAACTGGTATTATTAGATGGTTAGCTACTTACATTAGACAATTTAAGACTCCTTGCATAACTGAACATTTTCTGTGAAAAATTCAAACTGGATTTTCAGACACATCATTTGCAATTAACCCAAATGAAATTTAGAACATATTTGATGTGCTGTTTTGGCTACTTACGGAGAGAAATGAAAATAGGAACAAAGCGTTAAAATTTAATGGTCACAATCCCCCCCCCCCCAAAAAAAAAACCATTTCCTGGCATAATTGTGGCCCGTAAATTAATTTCATGGAGAACCTAGCCTAGTAACTTTATTGCATCCCTGCAGATATGCTGCAATGAGTGTCACAACCTGATGTCACTCCCTTCACTCAACTAAAACTGTGAGGTGAGAAAAGTGTAGCAATAAAAAATAAAAAAATATTTTTAAAACAATGAAAACCCATCTTACAGTTTTATGGAATATACTTTTAAACACACTTTATTGCAGGTTCCACCCAAAATATAATCCAAAAGTTGTCAGAAAAATCAATACCCATTCCGAATCTACAGAAAAAATTTTGACTAGTCTACCACCCAATGTAATAATATTCCATCAGAAAATTAACCCTCTTAGTAGAGACCGACCGGTAAATGTTGAGAATAATGCCCGTGATGGCCGCCATTTTGGTTGACAGTTAATTATTATTATTATTATTATACGTGGTTTTATATAGCCTAGGG